CTAGTAAAGTTGCGTTGTAAACACGCGTACTTGTAAGTTGTAACGTTATTATTAGGGCTATACATACGATTGTTAACAACTGGTTCGTAGAGGTCATTAAATTCTAAGAACAGGTTCGCACGAACCGGTGCGAACCGGCTGAATCCCACCACTGATCGTAGGTATAGATAACGTATAGGGAAACACTACATTGTCAAATATTACTACAATGTATGCAGGGCCATACCGATCGTGTGAGATATAAATTCTTCGCCTGTCCTAAAAATAATAAATAATAGTAATAAAAAGGCTAATATTTCCTTGCCTTCAAAGATGCAAACTCGCGGCTCTTATGTCCGGACGCACCGCTCGCGCTTCCCTTGACATGGCCCTGAATATTTATTGTAATTGTATTGTTAGTAAATGAGCATAAGACAGCCCATTAACTTAATTGGTAGACCCTTCGCTTGGTATACGAGAGATTTCGAGTTCAAATTCGATGCGAAGAAATATATCGTTTTAAACATGAAAAATATGACACTGCTACCAACACCGTGTTTTTTGGATGTTCGCGCAAAGCACCATAGGCGGTATCTTTGCTTGCCATCACTGATTTTGAACTTACAGAGAGAAGGAGGACAGTCAACAGTATGCACTGTTAACTTTTTAGCTATTGTAGTGTGATATAACAACCAGTTTTATAACGCACCCTTCGTCCAAAAGTCCAGCACGCCAACCATTTCGACACGCCCGGGCCATTCTTTTATAGATAAAAAAAGATATTTAATTTTGTTACGAAATTGCGATAAACAGAAATGAAAAGTAATGTTCAATTTCTTACGTAATTTTTTTTTTTGTAATTAAAATTGTATCTTGTTATTATTATTATTTGTAATGTTTACGTAAAAAACTAAACTCAGTACTTATTTCAAATTTACATAGTGAAATAAAAGTTTGGAGACGGTTTGACTGGGTAATGAAGAAAACTTTTATTATAAATGTTCGACGTTTTGATACTTTTGTATTCTATAAAGTGGGTTCTTTGACATCAAATTTACGTAATGAAATATATACTTGTCGTTAGGTGGCTTATTATAACACTGATTTCCCGCCAATCGTCAGTGTTGAGTTAACGTTGAAACTTCTGTGGATTCCTTTTTTTTCGATTTACAAAGTTTTAGTTCAATGTGATAGTGACTAAAATTCTTTGCATTTTATTTGTTATTATTAACCTCATAAAGAAAACTCAGTTTTACAAAATGCCTGGCGTTGATGAATGGGTAGAATGCCCTCTCGGTATTGTCAGTGAAATATTTGGTAAGTATCACCATCATTAATTATTTATATTATATTCGAACTCGTACTAATATTACTATTAGTATTATTGATACTGATTAACGTTACCGTTGGCTTGTTTTTGAATTTGTACTTGTAAATGTAATTACACTTTGTATTGAAGTTCTAAAAATTTTTGATTTTATTTAATTTTAAATTATACGTGAAAGTGCAGAGTAACTCAATTCAGAAAGTGTAAATAATACGAAATGGCACATATTGACATAGGATGAAAGATAGGTTTAAGTTTAACTTTAGTACTTACCCGCGGGTATCACCTAAATTGCTCTAATCAAGTTTAGAAATTGTGTGAGTAGAAGTAGCTTGTAAACTGTATATTTACTAATTTAATCATACGTTTTGTTACTTTAGCTCAGTATATCCACATAAAATAAATTATAAAGCACATATTTGTAGAATGCACAAGCGTAAAAATCACACTCGGGGTCTTTAATTGTAATGTTACTATCAGTATCACAATTTATTTTTACGTCTTTGTCTTATGTTAGTTTTATTTGAATAGGAAGGCCAATCAATTATGACTATAAGTACAGTTTTCATGCTTCAGTATTTGTGCATAGCACCAACATTGATGACATTTGTATAGTATGAGAAACTGAGTTTTGTTTTCTGTATGCTTTTTTAGAATATCTTAACCTATGTGTGTGTGTATGTAAATTACTACTGAAACTCGTTAAAGGTATTTTTTTAACATGTATTTATTAATTTATTCAAAAATTTGCTTAATATTGAAATATTCTTTGCCTCTTTTTTTCAGCAAAAAGTGGACCATCTCAATGTCATGAAAAAGTTACAGAATACTTTGAAAAGAGGCTCAAAGAAAAAAATAATTATTCATTGGTATGGAAAATGTAATGCATTAAATCATGATAGTTTGTTTACAGTGTTGAATTTAGTGTTTAGATGAAAGTAAGAGATAAAGAATTTCTTCCGCAAACACTTGAATGTATGTAAACTGTATTATATTTGCTGTTTATTTTATTGCTTTTTTTTACCTGTAAACATAGAAATGCTATTTGTAGAAGTTTAATTTTTTTAAATCAAGTTCTGTTTAAAGTTGTATATAAGATTTATATTTTAGGTTCCTTCTCTAAACAATGTTCCTGTTCACTGTCTGAAACCAAATAGCTTGGTACGTTTTCGTTGTATGATCCAAGATATGTTTGATCCAGAATTTTTCTTGGGGGCTTATGAGGTCATTGACTTTAGGTCACATGAGAAAAAGCTTCAACCAGGACTTTACAAAGACTTAGCAGATTGTAAGGTTAGTATTACATTTATTTTCTCAAGATTGGCATTGTACATTGTATGTATGATAAATAATAACCTTGAGTAGCTTGTGTAGCAAATGAATAGTTATTTTAGGTTAATATTTGAAAGTTCTTTCAAAATGAAAATAATTGGTGTTAGGTCCTGTTGTTTGATCATTTTCAATTTAACAAAACCATAAAAAATTCAAATATATATAGTTACTATAAAAAAGCACTTTTATTTTATCCTAAATGAATGATAATATTAGCAAAAACAGTAAACTTTGTTCTGCATAAAAATTAGCTTAATATCATCTGATGTAGTTTTCTTAGTTAAAACAGAAGACAACACAGCTGAGCATTAAGTTGGGAATACAGTAGGTTTGAAAAGGCTTGTGGGAAAGAGTAAGTTCAATGTGGACAACAAAAGAAAGACTCAAACATGAGAATTTAATAAACAAAAATTTTTTTATTTCTTACACAAGACTTGCTAGTCTTTATTAAATGGCTGGATTCTAGGTTTTCAAACTTTTGTGCCTGCTGAAGCAAATGAGGAGCACAACTTCACTGAAGAAAAGAGAGCAAGATTATGTCTATACTGCACTTTACAGTCAGACCAAATTCCTAATGTGGTATTTTACAATGTTAGATTAGTTACATAAGTAATATTCTAATAAATGCATTCAAGAGGAAATTAACTTGCAGCTTTAACTCAATTACAAACTGCTGCACTATCTTTTCACTTGTATGATTAGGGGAAAGAATGCACACAAATATTACCAAGTGAGTACAAACGGTAGAATGATTACTGGCAGGAAACAGCCTGAAGCAAAGATGAATGAAGTTTATGAAATTTTTCATCATCTTAATGGGGTTGGTAACTAAATGCAGAATATTTGATCAAAAAAAATTTTGCACACACTTCTATGTATATGTATTAAAACAATTCTATAACTATAATATTTCAGTTAAAGAATGGTAAAATATAGCTGTCTTCAACTGCTATACTATCAATTTTTGAGAATGGTTAATATTTTGTTCAGGTGTGTGGATCTAAATATGATGAAGAAAAGAAAATCATACTATTTATTTTGCACAGTTTTTAGCATGTATTCTCATATATTTACAATTATACATAACTCCTTGAGAATAATCCCCAGGACCAGAGATGGGTAAACCAAAAGAAGTTTGGTAATATTACTCGGTAGAAGACAGGCATGATGAAGCCAATACCATAATTCAAGTATTACCAAGCAGCATGTTACAATGCATCTGCTTTAAGACTGCAAAAATTCCCAGGCTCTATAATGCCTAAATTTCAAGATGAATTTTAGGGGAGATTATGCATGGTGCCATATTTTTTATCTCTTACCCAAACTCAATGTTGACTTTCCATGTTGATGGTTGTAAAGATTGAAGTTAACCTAATTTTGTTTTAAAGTGGAAGTCTGAAATTTAAATGTAAGGACTCAAAATCAGTGTAGGCATGTTGTGCAACATCAGGTTATTTGGTACCTAGTCATATTGTATGGCTACACTGCTGTTAATCTTTTCAGAATGGTCCAATTTTTCTGAAGAAGTAACTCCTTACTTAAATGAAGAATGGTAAACAAATGGATGATCATTATCAAAACTAGGAAATTGTCTCAAAAGCTTCAGTAAATAATCAACCTCACAGCATGAATTTAAAAATTAAGGCTTGTGATACTCATCTGCAGATTACTTAGTTAAGACCAGTTTTTCCAAACTGTTAGTCTGATATGTTGTCAAGTGTGGGTGCAGTTTAATCCTTCAATTGGCTTCATTTTCACAGTAGAAAATTTATTAAAATGAGTTGAAACCTACTAAACACTTGCTGGTAATATAGTAGTCAAATGCAATAGTAATCAAAATGTGAAATATGGGACAGTGTTCAAAAATGTAAGAAGTGTTGTGACTTTATTTTGGTTTATTGTGTTATAGTTTTGTTGATGAAGTTCAAACATCGTCATTACATTATTTTTATACTTTTAAGTGAGTCCACAAAAGAAACCTCAGGTAAAAAAGAAAGTTGAATTTGGGTTTTATGTTAGTTTTAGGAAATAAGAAAGTATAGGTAGTTATGAAAAATAGCAATCACTTTAGAATTTCTTGATATAAGTCTCAAAAACACCTACTAATGTATAAGGGATGTAGCCAGGTTAAGTTTGAGGACACTGATGTTGCAGCTCAGATATCTAATTTGACCATGTATCTCTTAGAATTACACTTCAGCCAACAACGTTTTTTCGTGTGTGTGTGTATAAATATATATTAAAGTATCAATTCAGTAGTTAATTGAAATTATGCTTTCAAATTTAAAAGAAATGCAGGGATTCAGGTCTCATAAATTCATCAATAACAAAAATGAAGATTAAACCCAATAAAGAGAAGAAGTAATTTCATCATTGTGTAATGACAGACAAAAAAAACTTAGTTATGTATGGTTTTTGAAATGTTTAGATTGAAAAAATATTTTTATAATACCATTGACTTATTTTAGTAGAACTTAAATATTTTGAATGGTTCAAAAATGTATGAAACTAGTTTTGTTGAAAGAAAATCATTATTACATCACTACTATAATGTTTCTTAATATATATAATATAGGTTTACATTTCTACTACCTGTATGTGATTGTGCTAATAAACATTTTAAACTCCTTTTGCAAAAGGATACAGAAGAAGTGGATTTAAACTCTCCAGGAAATACCACAATGGACAGACTGACCTACTACTGTGTTAGTGTACCTGGTGAAACTGAATGGGTGAAAGATATATCCTTTAGTTAAGTTATGTAAAGTTAAGTCAGTGGCTTAGGTATGTTAACAAATTTTTCTAATAAAGATGAGAGAGAGAGAGCTAGGCAATTAGTGGAATTTGTTAAATAATTAATTGTCCGAGCTTTGTAATAACCTAAATTCAACTGATTAATTATTCTCACATGAGGTGACTAAAAATAAACTTGGTACAAGATTTTTTAAAGATAATCTGACTACTATTTGGAAAAGCATTAATGTTGAGAAGACCACATGTACAGTCTTTTTTTATTTTTTATAAATATACAGTAATCTCTTGTTAATCTGTATAATTTGAATAAACTTGTAATCAGATAATGAAAACATTTACTATCACTGACAACATTAATGTTTTTTTATTTTAAACATATCATTGCAATTATAAATTAACTTTCCATATGGGCATCATTTTCTGCACTTCATGATGGTTTTACTCTGTTACATTCAAAATTTAAGGACTTTATTATCATGGTATAAACAGGTGTTAAAAGAAAAAAAAAGTGTGGGAATCTGGTTTTTAATGCAGAGACATATCTCAAGGACAAAGGAAACTGTAAGAAGGGAGTTGTATATGTTCATGTGCTGTGTAAGTATATATGAAACTTTTTTATCTTAGCTACATACTTATATTTATGTGTTTAACTGTTAACGCAACCAGATGTTTAAATTCTTTTCAGAGCTTTTGAAAACCACATTTTCAAATTTATACTACATGAGTGATTTTACTGAAAATAGATGAGAAAAAATGTCAATTTGGGTACTATGACCACTAGTTTTAGAATTAATGGAAGGTGAACTTTAATTGTTATCTTTTAAATAAGAATATGATCTAAGTTTTGCTGATGAATAAGGGTTTTAAAACCATAAATTAAATGATTTTAAGTGATATGTAATGGAAAAGTATTAGTTTAAAGAGTTAATATTCCTTTTTAGTGATTCAGTTGCTCATTCCAGTAGATTTATTAAAAAATAAATGTAGTTATTTTTTCCTTACAATTACAAATAATGTATGAAAATGCTTCTATCTCTAAGCTAAATTTTTTCTTTTATCCAGTTAGTTTTAATTCCATTGACCAGTTCTTATTAAAATTTGATTATCAGTTACAAAATTTATATTTTTCTTAACTGGGGTACAGTTTTCTTACGTATGAGTCAGAAACTATTGAAGCAACCACTTCCACAACACCACAACGACAGAAAAGATCATTAGAGGATGAAACTGAAGACATGGATACCTCATGTAGTAATAGCAGTGAAGCAGAAACAAAAAGAACAAGAACAGATGCCATGCAAGGTGAGTTCCAACATAAGCATGTGTCCAGTGTCTTATATTTTCAACTGTATGTGTATTGCCATTAGTTTTGATATATACAGTATATTGGAAAGATTTCATTATGAATTAAATATTTTGTATGAAGTAATAAATACTTAATAAAGAAGAGGCTTATAATAGAAAATACAAGCATATGTAAAACATAATTAAATGAAATCAGATGATGTAATTAAAAAATAGAAAATGATTATGCCCTAAATGATAAAAAATACTCACTAAAAACAAATGCACAAACTGTCTTAAGCCAAAAGTGTTTGAAAAATTTGTATGCAAGAAAAAGATGAGAAAGTGAATATAGTTTGCTTTCTTATCTTAAACTATGGGAGTCTTTACTGTTTTGGTGGGTTTTAAAAGAGGAAGTTTGTGTGTTTGTTTATTTTGTTCACTGTTGGAAACCAAACGGTTGAACTTACAAAATTTTAAAATAACTTCATAATAACCAGTTTTTTACAAGAAATTTAATGGTACTATTTCTTTTGTATTTGGTGTAGTATTTAATGACAAAATTGACAATTAATGATTATTGTGCCATTTTTTGTAATAAACATGCAACAATATATGCACAACAGAAATTAAATGAT